AGCCACTGCGTACTTTTTAAACTATAGTAAATTTTCCAGAACTAATGCAGGAGATTCAGTCTTTTCATCCTTTTGAGTTAGACCTATTTACTAAGGCGGAGACAAGATGTCTCTGAAGTCTCAGCTTGTCAGATCAGCTCCATCCCATCCCCTGGAGTACAAAGGCTGACTCTGCCCTGGTGTCTCACTGTGTAACCGAAGCCTGAAGTAAATTTTTACATCTGGCTACAATAGTCTCTTTGATTTGACTCCAGTTATACCTAAATGGCAAAGACTGAAATCCTGTATTTTCCATCGAAGTTTTCTCCAATTTGACCATCTAAATGTTTGCTTCCCCATTGAGGGCATTTTACATTTTTTTGTTACTAGAAATCGACCGATGTTGGAGGTTTTTTGGCTACGTTCACACTGCAGGCCTTGATGCTCAATTCCGATTTTTTTTGTCAAATCCAATTTTTTTTTTGCGTTGCCATTCATACTTCCAAATATATGCGACTTGTATGTGATCTCCTGTGTGAACTGCAGTCATACAACGCAAGTGTCCCGCATGCACAGTAGAGGACGCAATGACGTCACAGGCCAGCATGCTCTGTGTTTACGGAAGTAAACATGGTTGATAGTTCTGGTGCGAATTTAGCGGTCTTTTCCAACCATAAAAACACAATCTTTTCAAAATGTTTAAACATAAATACTGCTCTCCGCATCATCATCCACCATGGTTGTTGTTTTTCTTGCTGCTTCTGTGTAGCAAGACGCATAATAGTGATCTTGGTCGGGTATTAATGGCGTTCAGGTCGGTTGAATGCGACCTGGCCGTTCAGACACAGGTCACATTTGAAAAGATCAGATTCGTATCGGATTCAGGACCACAAAGCCAAGTGGCCTGGGTCGGATTGGAAAAGATCGGATCTGTGTTGTTCAGACTGTCATGAAAAAATTAGATCCAGGTTGCATTTGGGCCAAAAAAAAAATCGGATTTGGGTCACTTCAGGCTGCAGTGTGAACGTAGCCTTTAAGACCAATACCAATTAATTTCCTCTTTCTTAAACTAATGTTACACATATCTCAATTCAAACAGAAACAAAGCTTTGTTAACATCAAAAATTCTATGCATACGGTCTGAACGCACTAATGAATTGGCAGAAAAATGCACATATCGAACAATGCTAATAGAAGAGGGAAAAAACGCAAATATCAGTCTAAAAATTTTTCTCATATTCTTACCTATCATCATAGTTGGTTTGGACCTTGAATAAGCACCTGGAGTTCCCTATGGACTTGTTTTCTACGGTTAGACCAAAAATCTTCCAAAATAAGGCTGTGCGACAAAGCAAAACACAAAGCAGAAATTTCTACTCCCTCTTTTTGTCATCCCAATGCTTTCAACATTTACTGGAACCTGCATTACCACAAATAACAATGCCAAATATATTTAATAAAAAAAAAAAAAAAAAAAAAAAAAAAACACAGCAGTGCTACTTTCAAGGTCTATAAATAAACTTGCTTTTACTGTGATGCACCTTTTTGAGTTTGATAAACAACATATACAAGTTATGGAAAAAATATTTTGATGCATAAATGGGAAATCTAATGGGTTTAAACTGTATAGAAACACTATAAACAAGTTTAAAAGTTTAAAAGTATGGGTGGTAGTTTCCCAGCGTTACTTTGAAGTGATGGAATTCCACAAAATCCAAACACAAAGATCCCGTTAATAAAATTCTATTAAAAAAGTGGTTTCAAAAGTAAATCTATCCACATAGCTTTCAAAGCAGTTTCATTCAACCACCATCAGCAGATTAATTATCCAGTGAGTGACTAAATCAGGAGAGGATGTAGGCGGAGGAAAATGAGCTTGCAATTTTGACACAGAATGAGCGTTATAATAACTCACACCCACTTTCAGCCAGTGTTGAAGAGGAAAAGCTCTTGGCTCTGCTCCCACTCTGTGTCACTGTGCTTGATTGTACAGAAAAGACTGTGGGAGATGTAGCCAGCACTATTATCACCTAATTTATCTGTCACCATAAGTCTCCATTATTCCCATTAAGACTTTGCCTTGGTATGATGATTCCAATATACTGGAATTTTAAAAAAGGAGATATTTTATAGTTGAGAGAAGCAAAACTGGTATTTTTTGTGCCATGGTTTCTTTTTCATATCTTACTATGATCGTACTTGATAGAGAAACTCAAGACTTTTGAATTAGAAAGGAAAGAGTTTATGGTTTATTATATCTAATTCAAATCACAACGAAAGAAAGATTAGAGAGATTTTGGCTCCAGTTACAGCTAAAGGTCTTTTAGTGCATGCATCTACGATAATTAAATAGCAAGATGCTGAGTATGTGCACCTTTTTTCCGAAAAACATCTCAAGCTAAGTCACAAAGGTTGAAAAGCAGGCTTACAATTTCAATTTCTCCCCCCAGCTTCCCAGTTTCTGAGGAGCCAGGGTCAATCAGCCAGGTTAAGGCTTGTTATCTCGAAAGCAAGGGATATTGATGAAGAGGTCAGTGTGCACAGTTTATTTATAAGAAGAAAGTTTCACTAGAAAAGGGAGAACATAATCTTTTTAACACCTAAAGCGCAGCCTTGACTCAACTCTGCAGAAATTTCCACCATGAACCAAGACGAAAACATTTAAGATGACAGCATGGTTAGGTTATATTTTGGATCGTTCAGAGAAGCGACCCTGAAGATAAAGTGAATGGAGGTTATGGCCAGTGACTATCAGTGCGGGCTCTTTAATAACGGTTAAATCCTCAGTAGTGTTCTTGTTCTGTACAAGCGCAATATCTCTAACCCATGTTCAAACTGAAGGAGACTTTAGGATCAGAATGAAGTCCAGTTGATTTAATTTATACATTAAAGCTGCTTTAACACCAAACTTTTGGAAAGTTTTAGCCTAAATTCAAATTTCTGTTAAAAGCAAATCAAGAACCCTGAACAGGCGCAGTGGTTAGCGCACACTACCCATATACAGAGGCCTTAATGGTCCTTTGTCACATGTCCTTCCCCCTCTCTCATACCCCTACCTGTCAGCCTACTGTCCAAAAAAAGAAAGAAACGAGCCACTAAAACAAAAACAAAAAACTTCATTTTGTAGAAGAACTGTAGAAAAAATAAATTGAGAGCTCAGATCCAAAGATTTCCGTTAACAGAGCCATGAAGGGGCCCAACTTTAGATGTCTTAGAGCTCACGTCGCAGACGTTCCAATCTAGCCCTGATCGTATTAAATACCTGCTCTGGTTTTCTGTCAAAAATGCTGTCCATATATTTAGGTATTTGTTGGTGGAAAACAGTTCATGTGCAAAACGGGAGATGGAAATACTTTATATGAATCAGCTCAGACAAAGCATAGTTTGCCATGACTGATCAACCGTTTCTGCTTTCAGCGTCTTCACAGCAGAAACGGTTGGAAACATGAAACGGCAAAAACATGGTTGGAAGCAATACGCCATAACCAGCTCACGTTAATGTAAGAACAACTAGCTCAATAGCAACACGTTCATTACAGATCTGTGGGCCGTTGTAGATTACAGACTCTATGTCCCGTTTATTGCAGCCATGCATGACCATGTAATGTGAAAGCAACGTATGGCAACATTATGCTTTACCATGCTTGGTGAAATTTCTTTAAATCAAATGGAAACGCCACAAATTCGCATTTCCTCTTTTTCAAACTTTTAAAAGTTCACCCTTAAAATTAACACGGCTTGTGTGAAAGCAAACTGGACCAACTGAAGGTGCAAAAGATGTTTAAGACAATCTCACAGAGAATAAGCATTAATTAACAGCATGCAAAAACCAAAAAAAATGGACATTTAAGAAGATCATATGAGAGTGAAATTATAAATCATAAGAATTCAGGAAGAAGATCCTCATCAACCTGTTCTACAGCAAACTGGTGTCTATCCAGAGCAAACAAAAACGGGCAGAGGGCTATTCTGAGTGACCAGCTTATTCACCATTTCTGTTCTTAGGAAACAGGATGTTGAATAAACATGTCTGACCTTTCATCATCTGCAGCCAGCCACCCCCACCCCCCACCCCCAAAAGGCCTGTGCTGTTCAGCAAAACAGAAAAAAGTTACACTCAGGCAGTAAATATGGGCCAAAAGAGAAAGCTGATTCCTACTGTGGCGTTAGCATTTCATTAGCTGAAGCTAAGGAGAAAACAAAAAATAGAGTTGGAGTATCTGAATTGGATGAGCTTTCGTCTACTAATGACCCCAGCGACATTTAGGATTAAGAAATTAGATCAAACAACTGGATGATTTCCAAGTCCTTAGCATTTGTCCAGACAAATTAAAGCCAAACTCTAAAAGTTCCATCTGCTAATCTTTGCAACAGATTTTGTTCAACAGGCATAAAGTAGATTAAGATTTTCGGAACACTTTTTAAAGCAAACCCTTACTGCGCACAGTCATCACAATCTAACAACTCCCTTAAAATCAGAAATAATCTGATCACCACGATTGGACCTTTCAACTCTTTTCTTATATTTCCTAAAAGAAATAGTCTAGACCAGGGGTTTTCAAAGTATGAAAGGGTGAGCCCCCCTCCAGGGAGCACTATGCCCGCTCCACACGCGCACCCCACAGTTCCAACTTGGTCCTAAATATATATTTATTTTTTCCCTCTCATCGCGCCTCCCTTAAGGTGCTCTGGCGCCCCCCAGGGGAGGCGCACCTCACACTTTGAAAACCGCCGGTCTAGACAAACTACATATCATATCTGATGGCTAACCCAACGCACCATTCCTTTATAAAATAATAAAGAACAGTAAAGGGGTTAAGAGTCTTTGCTCAGAGACCCAGAGTGGCAGTTTGTGGGAGTGGGACTCGAACTCAGAACCTCAGGATTCCAAGCTTTATGCCCTAACCACGCCACTCCCACTCAACTTATGTCCCTCTACTTATTTATTTAATCTATGGATTCTCGATGCAAGTTTTGTATGAAGCTGATTTCTTACAGAGTTTCCAATCATGGCTACTTACCAAAGTTGTCTCAGGCTCCAGCTGGGACTCAGACGAGGACTCCATGGTTGTCTGACGCCAGAGTCAAGCCTGCCTGTGCTGCTCTGATGACTGCATCTCTGTGGAGAGAAGCAGGCATGTCTTTTATTACAATACAACTAGAGTAACGTCAGCTGGGTAGCAGTAAAGCCAAGGTTGTAGCTTTTATATTTTGTGCTCTTTTTATACGTTTCAGCAAAAACTTCTGCTCTTTAATGAAAGGACCTGTGTCTACCACATGTGTAGGAGGATTCCAACCATCTTCTTCTAAATATGTCCTAAAAAATGTCCTTTCATTAGAAGAAGAAGAACACAACAGCGTTCAACCTTTATTCAGTCAATGAATGCAATACTTTTTGGCATTTTAGCTGCTAAAATCAAACATGTTGAAAAGAATGTATAATAAAAATTTTTTTTAAAACAACGCAGACTGAAAAATGAATCAAGAGAAATATATTTTTTATATCTGATGTCTTCATTTTTAGTATATATTTAGAAACTTGAAAGCAAGTAATAAAAGCAATAAAATAATTAATAACAAGTAATAAATGATAAAAGCAGTAATAAAATGGATAAAACTAAGTAATAAAAGCTCCTGGTCAGACTAACAAGAATGTTTTGAGCACCAGGACTTCAAATGTTTAGTTTACATTCAGACTATATCCTCTTTCCCACTCAAATTAGCTATTTTTTTTAAATGCAGGTCGACCTGCTAACAATTTGGCATTTGCCTCCATTTGCAAAAAAAGCTGTGTCTATCCCCATGTTGGAAAGCTTAATGTCCTCCGCTCCCCCACTGCTGCTTGTCTGATGATATCATCATGCTGGGTTAGCATTGAAGATGTCACCAGTGTGTGGTCCCTTTGCTTTATTGTTTTGTTCTTTTGTCTCTCTGAATCTCTCACCTGTGCTGCTCCATGTTTATTGAATGTAAACAGAGCTGCTTTGGCTTGTTAGATCAGAAGCGACTGGCGCAGTGTAAAAAATTTATAAATACCTACATGGATAAGAAAAAAATCAAAGCCTGACAGCGAAGTATATAAAATTTTATATTCTGGTACTTCCAGTTTTTACCACTAATCTAGAAAAAAAAGCTTTTTTAATTTTTCTGTTGCTATAATAGGCAGCAGGGAAATCCCAGACAGCCTGGCTGGCTTCGAGCTTTCAATGGGGACTACAGTATGCATGGAGGTCTATCCCTCTGAACAACAACAGAATATTTAAGTAGAATCATAATCCTGATAAACTGAATGCACAAATTCCATTTTGAGTTGGACTTTCTCAGCTAAAAATGTGCTAAAACAATGTTTTTTTCAAATTATCAAAACAAATGAAGCAAAGATACTCTAGATAGCAAAGAAATTAACAGTGTCCAACTTAAAAATGTCCAAGTTGAGGCTTGGCAGCTTTTCTGGTAATAACATGTTTGGTATTAAATTAATAATGAGTTCCAACATTAGCGTTCAAGTTACGTTGAGGACAGACTATTGTACATTTATTGTTCATAATACATAAATTAGCCTCTCATGGTTGACTTAAAATTATGGTACTTTGTAATATCTTTACCTCCTCAACTCAGTACTTCCTGGGATAAGATTAAACTCCTATGATCATAACCATCTGATAGCAGCAGCGCAGAAAAGAGACAGAATCCATCTAGATTTGCAGCAGTTTGCAACATTTTCAGGCAGAACTGCCACAGTTTAAACTATCATCAACTCTCTCCGATCGGACCTCATTAACATTATCAGCCACATACAGAGAAAAAACCTTGCAGCTCATGAAAATCTATCTTTTTTCCCAGTTATTCAGTCCATGCTTTTTTGATAAAGGTTTAACTTTGCAACAATAAAAATAAAGTGCTGCTCATACCTTATTTAGTGGCTTCAATGCTGATTAACTTCCCCCAAAAGGATCTGTTAACCACACAATGCTTTTGGAGAGATTTACATTGTCAAATCCAAACGGTAGGACTGCTTTAACATTGCTGATATTTTTAAGGAGTGGGGTCAAAACATCCTACAAGAGCATCCTCCAGGCACATTTACTAATCTGTTTGTTTTCCACCATGCGTCACAAAGTAACTGACGTACCAGGGCGGCCTTAAGATCAGAATGTCAGAGCTGCTGGGACTTTAGTCGACTCAAACCGCTAAAGAGACGAGAAGAAACCAACATCAGTCAAGATTTGGATCCAGAACTTGATATCCAGTATGGCAGAGTGAATTACAGATGATATAAACAAGAAAAGGTCAGCACTAAAAAGGTTAAATGTTCACATTAAGTTGATGCATTGGCCAATTAACCCTGATGTCCCGACTGTCAGACGCCAACCCGGGGATATATCCGTCTCCAAACATTGCAGGTCAAATCACAATGATCGTACATCATAGCAAGACATTGAGACCCAGCTCTGAAAGCAGATACTCTGGCCTGTCCAATCAGCATTGATGCTCTGCAGCAGCTCTTTGACAGACAGATTTACAAGCCTGGGAATCCACCTCATCATTACCTTATAATTTATAGAAGGGGTGTATTTAAATACTGAGCATATAGAGGGAGAGTTTAGGATATTACAACCAATCCAAAGTGGAAGGATTTAACTCTCTGCACTGATTTTGGCTTCAAAGTAAACTTTAAAATGTTTTATCTAACATTAGCATTTGCAAAAATTCCCTTTTTTTGTAATTAATGTTCTAGCTGGAAGGAAAGCACATTCTTGCATTTATTTTTATCATAGCCAATATTTCAATGTGGAAAATGCAAAGTTAATTCGAAAACCTTGATTATGTTTCCAAAATATGTTCCTTTACATATTGGTGTTGGAGAACGATGCTGGACATTTGATTTCCGTTCCTCTTACAGGGAAGTTTGTGCTATACTTAATATCGAAGATGAACTCCTGGGTTATCCGATGCTCAAATCACTATTATTCCATATCAAACATTTTCTTGATCTTAATATTGGTATTAATTTACATCCCTGTGAAAGCCATTAATCCTCTTTACATCTGCTGCTCAGACTCCATCTAAAAACTTCACTCTGTTACTGCATGCTAGCTGGCACGGCTCAGCGTGTTTAAAACGTCCCACAGAGTTCAGTCATTCAGTCATTGTTGGACCGAGACAAAATGATGAGGGGGGATCCTAAAGTCGTGGAAATATTGGCTGATTGCTTCCTTCTTTGAGGCAGCTGTTGAAGCGCTGCGTCCAAAAACATTGGAAGACACTCAATTTTCATCTCAACCATTTCTGAACAGGAGTAATTACACTAATTACAACCATAATCATTGTCCGATTAAAGAAATAAGCTTCTCTAATTAGGGTTCTACCAACAGCAATTCTTGGCTGTCAAATTTTAAACATGCAACTGTAATTTTAAACTGCAAATATGACCATAAGTGGAAAATCTGAAATGCCTTATTTAAGATAAAAGTATAGTTTACATTTTGACTGCTTTATTAATATACAAAAGAGGGAAAATGTAACTTTATGGTCTCACAAGTTTCCAGGGTTGCGTTTCTTCTTGAAGAAACCCTTTTCTTACAGACAAGTGGAAGAAAGTCCTGGTAATAAGTCATATTTTGGAGAACTGGGATAGTTTCATTGAAAAGTCAACTAACTATATCCACCAGGGAACATAAAGAGAAATGTTTATGAAAATACACACAGTGAGACAATTTAAGAATTCATATAATAAGGGATTTTATATAATAAGAGAAGCACCCTTGGGGAAAATCCACCAGAAAAAACCCATCAGGGAATTACATATTTAATAGAGCCGATAATTTAATAATAGCCTTTAAATGGTAGGGACATGTTTTCTTCTATACTCATACAACACTGGCTTTCTTTTTCTTTATCTACACTATATTGCCAAAAGTATTTGCTCACCCATCCAAATTATTGGAATCAGGTGTTCCAATCACTTCAATGGCCACAGGTGTATAAATTCAAGCACCTAGGCATGCAGACTGTTTTTACAAACATTTGTGAAAGAATGGGTCGCTCTCAGGAGCTCAGTGAATTCCAGCGTGGAACTGTGATAGGATGCCACCTGTGCAATAAATCCAGTCGTGAAATTTCCTCGCTCCTAAATATTCCACAGTCAACTGTCAGCTGTATTATAAGAAAATGGAAATGTTTGGGAACAACAGCAACTCAGCCACGAAGTGGTAGGCCACGTAAACTGACGGAGCGGGGTCAGCGGATGCTGACGCGCATAGTGCGAAGAGGTCGCCAACTTTCTGCAGAGTCAATCACTACAGACCTCCAAACTTCATGTAGCTCAAGAACAGTGCGCAGAGAGCTTCATGGAATGGGTTTCCATGGGCGAGCAGCTGCATCCAAGCCATACATCACCAAGTGCAATGCAAAGCGTCGGATGCGGTGGTGTAAAGCACGCCGCCACTGGACTCTAGAGCAGTGGAGACGCGTTCTCTGGAGTGACGAATCGCGCTTCTCCATCTGGCAATCTGATGGACGGGTCTGGGTTTGGCGGTTGCCAGGAGAACGGTACTTGTCTGACTGCATTGTGCCAAGTGTAAAGTTTGGTGGAGGGGGGATTATGGTGTGGGGTTGTTTTTCAGGAGCTGGGCTTGGCCCCTTAGTTCCAGTGAAAGGAACTCTGAATGCTTCAGCATACCAAGACATTTTGGACAATTCCATGCTCCCAACTTTGTGGGAACAGTTTGGAGCTGGCCCCTTCCTCTTCCAACATGACTGTGCACCAGTGCACAAAGCAAGGTCCATAAAGACATGGATGACAGAGTCTGGTGTGGATGAACTTGACTGGCCTGCACAGAGTCCTGACCTCAACCCGATAGAACACCTTTGGGATGAATTAGAGCGGAGACTGAGAGCCAGGCCTTCTCGTCCAACATCAGTGTGCGACCTCACAAATGCGCTTCTGGAAGAATGGTCAAAAATTCCCATAAACACACTCCTAAACCTTGTGGACAGCCTTCCCAGAAGAGTTGAAGCTGTTCTAGCTGCAAAGGGTGGACCGACGTCATATTGAACCCTATGGATTAGGAACGGGATGTCACTTAAGCTCATATGTGAGTCAAGGCAGGTGAGCAA